GTGGTTGAAGTAGAGGAGGGGGGAGGCGTTTGAGGGATGTTAAGAAGGCAGAGTCAGCAGGACTTGGTGGCTAAGTTGGAGCCTGAAGACAGAGGTAGGTGGAGGCTGGATGAGCCCCAGGGGCTTGGCCGACGTGTGTGGGTGCCGGTGACGTGTGTTATGATGGAGAAGGAAGGAGGAGAAACTTGTTGGCTGGAGATGAGGAGTCACATGTAGAGACTGGGTCTGAGACATCTAAGAGGCTGGTGTGACTTAGGGGATACCTGTGACTTCAGTATTTGGCTTATCTCCCTGGGGGGCGCTTCTCAGTGTCTCAGGTCTGCTTTGCCAGCGTTGGTGTTAAGGGTTGGTGTCTTTTAGAGTCATACTCATCACCCCCCTCCTCCCCGTTCCTGTTCTTCTCTTTTCTCGGCCTCAACTTTCTGCTGCATTGCTGACTGCCAGCTTGATCTCCAGACAGGACTGCTGTCCTGAGTCCCAGCTGCTCGGTCCCGCTGTGTGCTCGTCTTCATCTGCACACTCACCGGGCACCTCAGCATCCAAATCTATTCCCTCGTCCCCTCCCCCCATTTCTGTTACGATGTAGTGTAATCTAATGGTCAAGGGCACCGACGCTAGAGTTACCTCTCCAGGTTTGAGTCCTGGCTCTGTCACGTACTGGCTTTGTGACCTTGAGAAACGTATGTGACCTTCCCGTGCCTGTTTCCTCATCTGCAAAGTGAGCATCACAGTAGCACCAGCCTCGGGGTGTTGTTATGAGGATCAACTAAGAGTGTGCCTGGCACGTGGTAAACAGCATGTAAATACCAGCTAAAATCAGGTCTTCCTGCACTTCCTGTTCTGGCCGATGGCACCCCGAGGTTAACCAGCTACCCACACCAGAAACGTGATGTCAGTCCCCTCCCCGCCACATTGTTTCATCCCACATCCCGGGCTCAGGACGTCCCGTCAGTTGTCTGTTCTCTGTCCTCTCTCCATTCCGCCGTGACTGCCTGGACCTAACCTTCATCATCTTCCTCCGTGGCCTAAACTGGTGAGTGACTCGTCTGTCTTTTGTCCTTCCCTTTTTTTTTCTGTGACATTCTTTATATTGTCCCCCACTGATTTTTCTAAAATGCAAATCAGATCACTTAAAACCCATCAGTGCCTTCTTGTTCTCACAGGAAAAACAAAGCAAAACTGAGCCCAAGCGAAGGTTTTCCGCAATCCCTCCCGCCTCCTCTCCGTTCTCCAGACTCTGCTCCGCCTCCTCCCACCCTCTCTGTGGTCTTCGGTTCCTTCACCCTCCACGTCAAGTCGTTGGCCCTTCACGTCTTTGCACATGGGATCCCCTGGGGGATGCCTCCTGCCTGTGTCCCGCTGAAGTGATCTCTCTCTCGGCTGGTCCCCAAGCAGAGAGCTTACTCCGTGCTGTGTCACTTCGTCAGGAACTTAGTCCGTGTACCTGTCCCGTTCGCTCTGATCATTTGCATGTCATTCTCCTCCTAGATGAAGCTGATTTATTTATCTCCAAAGGACTCAGCTACACGGATTAACTTCTCAGAGAGTAGGATTTCGCCCTCTTGTGTTTAGCCAAGGGCAGATGTTAAACGTTTATTTATTGAACAGATTATCTGGTTAATGATCATTTATATCTATACTGAAGAAGAGCGTCTCGGTAGTCACTTTATTTGCAGTAAAGGGGGAGATTCCTTTTAGCGTTGTTGCTACAGCCAGCGTGCTCCCGTATTTTAGGCTCCCGAAGGTCAGTCATTTCCTAGTGGAGCAATAATAATATTTCTTGATAACTAAGTTTCCAGGAGAGCCAAGAAGATATACCATCAAGACGGTTCTTAGACCAAAGGCTGAGAAATGTTTTCTCCTTTTCGTGCAGGAGTCAGGAAACCACGAAGGAGCATTGACATTGCCTGCAAGTCAGTTATTGAGACTGTGCAGATGGCCCTGGCCAGGTAGCTCAGTCGGTTGGAACATCATTCCAATACGTCAAGGTTGTGGGTTCGATCCCCGGTCAGGACGCATACGAGACATGACCAGTGAATGCATGAATAAGTGGGATAACAAATTGATGTTTCTTTCTCTATTTTCCCCACACAAAAAAATAAAAAAAAAGACTCTGCAGAATAATGCTGTTTTTGAGTAAGCGGAGCGAGAAGAGCAGCGCTGGGCTGTGGCTGCGACGTGGCACAGAGGGACAGGCATGTGCCCTGCCTTGGCATCTGCGCGTCCGCTCATTAATCAGGCACTTGGGCGACAGACTGGGGCCTGTTTAGTAACGGTCAGCCTTCAGGTTCCTGTTCTCGCTCTTTACCCGGAAGGTCCCTGTTGGAGGAAAGTGGCGTGCGGATTTCCTTTTTGTATATGTGTATTAGATCCCAAGCAGAAAATATGTGTAGTTTAAGTCCACAGTCGTACTGAAGGCACAGTCGTGATTTTTTGCAGTAATTTAGCAGTCATTTCCCCATAAGATGCACTTATGGGAGAAAACCATCCACCTTTACAGAGAAAATAATACAGCTCAGATGGTTGATGGCACTCAGTGGTGACTGAATTATGCATGACTGTTCGTGCTGGACCTTGGCTCCCTGTGGACCGGGCGGGAATGAGGGCGGAACCTTCCACACCAGGGCCGCTGGCCATCCCCAAGGGGACCGTTCGGTGGGGTCTGAGGGCCCTCACCTCCAAACCCCATTCATGGAATGGTAAAATGTTGGATGCAGAGACTTAGTTTTTTTAGACAAGCGAATGCTTCACTGTCCGGGAAAACGTACTGTGGCTATTACAGCAATAATAATAGTAATAGCACTACCTTTTTCCCTACGATATATGGGTTTAAAAACTTTGCCGTATGTTGTATTTTCTTTGAGTCACAGGATTATCTCCACTGAGTAGCAAAAGAAACGGAGGTTGAAAGAGAATTCTGCCCACTCAGGGCTGGGCTGGGAGTCCCTGCGGCTCTCTGTGTGTCCTTGGGGGGCTCACCCTCCGCAGTCACAGTGGGTGGTGTGGGCGTGTGGTCACCTGCAGGTGATCAGGCCGCCAGCATCTCTCTCCAGGGGCCGGACCAGCCCCTCCCTCTTCACGCGAGAGAGACGGTCTCTAGTGTTTTGTTGCACTTGGGACAGTCCTGTGAAGGCCAGGGAGAATTCCAAATGGCAAGATTTGGTCACCAATCTTGTGACTTTGGGAGAACTAATGAGAACCAGGAGGGGGTGGGCAGGTGTGAGGTAGTCAGGAGGGGTCTGGATATCTGAATCTGTTTACCCCTCTTACTGCAAAATCCTGTGTGCTTAATTAAAAAAAAAACGTAAAGAGTTAGATGTATCTGTGGGCTTTCTCTTCAGCCAAACACCTGGTAGTTATTTGCTATTGAAAATGTTGGTTATGCTCCGTTTTGCTTTAATGATGTTCGAAGGGATTATAAATATATGGCCATAGGCGTGGGATGAAGGAGATCCCAGCGCAAAGGTATTAGATAACTAAACCTCCTTCTTTCTCCTCCCTCCCTCCCTCCCCTCCCTTCCTTCTTCTATATACCCCTTCCTTTTTTAAAAGAAAATATTTTGTTGATTCATTAAATGGCATTAAGACCTGTGTATTTCTTGTTGGCATGTGCACATCCTGCAACCTCATCCATGGTCCTAATGGCTCAGACAGATGCCCCCAGATGTTTGTTCCGGAGTTTTGTTTTCTTTTTTCTGTGTCCATTTGATCATCAAATTAACTTCTTTTTTGGTTCTAGGCACAGAGTAGATGCTCTGTTCATTTGATTCAATTTCAAATGATCATTGAAACCATCCAATCTAGCAACGATCCTAACCTGGTTCTTGGAGAACATTTAAAGAGTATTAAATTATATGTATTCTGATATTGTCAAAAGGAGAGTACCAGCCTCTGTTTCCAGAACTCCGGTGTAGTTCATCTGTCCCCGTCTTTCGTGGTTTCCTAGGTCCAGGTCTTTATTATCTTCCACAGTGCAGGGTCTGCAGCGCCCCCCCCCCCACCCCGCCCTCTGAACCCGTGAAAGGGCCCAGAGGCTGCGGCACCTTCTGCGGACGTTCCGCGGCTGTGGGTTCGGGATGGGTGGTGGGCACCTCCGGTTAGAACACTTTCTGGTGGTCTGGGAACCACTCCTTTCTGAAAACAGTGGCATGGAGTTGGAGATTTATTTTGAATAGAATCCTGTGATGTTTAAAATCATGATTTTCCTCAGAGTTGGGAGGCATTCTAAATGGGTTGAACAATTGTAACAACCGTGTTACAGGCACGCCCGTGCCTTCTTTGACGCTGCAGAACCAGAGTGATTTATGCGGCACTGCAGATGGGGTTATGTAATACCTTCTTCACTGCAGTGCTCTTGGTCTGGTGTATGCCTTTCAAACACAGCCTTTATTTATTAAAAACTCCCACTTATCAGGCTTGAGAACAAATAAAACTCACATTACACTGTATTTATTTTTGCTGTTAATTTCCGCATACACAATATTTATCTCTGCTTTATCCCACATTTCGTATGTGACTTCTATTGAAGAAAAATTTCATGATATTTAGAAACAATCTAGTGACCCTTTAGTAATGGTCTGTATTTGATGGACTAACATTGATCTAGAAGTTGGGTGGAGCACTGCATTTTTTTAATTATCCAAACGAATTGAAAGATTAAGTTCTGCATTAGATGCTTTTGTTAATGCTGATTCTCTGATAGTGAGACTTAATTGACAGTACACAGTGATTTAATGCGAACTTTTATTAACTCCAGCTGTCTGAATGAGTGTGCTGCAGCAAGGTCATGAGGACAAAACATGTGGGTTAATACGCACTAGCTACCGCAACCCCTTTTATTGACTTTTCTTTTTGCAAATGCTTCCTTTCTAAGCATTCTCTAGACATGCAATCCATCGAAATGTTGGGAATTAGGAGAATTATTGTGGTACTTGACTTATGAGTTTATAGGTCATCAGAGTTCTTTAATGCCTTAATCTATTTCTTCTTCTTTTTTTTAGGGACTTTCTCCCTCGAGGGTCAGGCATCGTAACCAGACGGCCTCTTGTCCTACAGCTTGTGACTTCCAAAGCAGGTAAGGAGCGAGGATGCTTGCCGCTCGGACGGCAGCTCGTGCGCCGGGTGCCTCTTCCTGGGGCTGCGTTGTGGCCACAGAAACGGTCCTGCGATCACTTCGCTGTGGGCAGCTGCCTGCATTTCTCTCCAAATGCTCTCTCACTCCTTCCTTCATTCCTCTCTCAAACATTCCTTCATTGCTCCTCTAATTCCTTTGATTACATTAAAGGAAAGGCCTTATTTGCATATAGACTTTAAACACCTAGAAAACAATATTTTATTATTGTAATTAATTCGTATAACTGTACAGTACTGCATAACCACTAATACCTCTTGGGTATACTTCCTTCCTGTGTCTGTGTGTGTTTGGGAACTTTTTTTAAAGTAACAATTCCACATCTATCCAATATCTGTATGCGTATGTGTGTATGTATGTCTGTACCTGTATTTACATCCATGTCTCTATCTACTCCTGATGTGCTGTGTGCTGGCCCTTCTCACCACTGCACAGTGATAATTTGGTAGGTCAGTGAACTTTGCTTTCATTTCTGTTTCTTAGCAACTGGTGATGTTGAATTTTTTTGTTGTTTGTTTGGTGTCTACATTTCTTCTCTCGTGAATTGGCTAGAACCAGCCACTTTTCTCAGCTCCGGGGAGAGGCAGTGACTGGGGCAGAGCCCCTGCCCACCCTTCTGGTGATTTATAGTCCGCTTGTGCCATTTTTTAATGCATAGAAGTTTCACTCTTCGTGGTTGTAAAGTACATTTAACAGAAAATAATTGCTTACCACTGTTTTCTTCCTTTTTGTACTTTTTAGGGCTTTATGTATCTGAAATCAATTTTCATGTATGCTGAAACAATTTTTCCTAGTCTCCTTTATCTTTTGTTACATTCCTACCACAATTTACTTCTGAATTTTTCCCCTGTTTTTATGGTGCCGATACCACGGTTTTACTTCTGAGGGTTTATGGTTTGCTCTGCTCTCTGTCTGTCAGGGCATTGTCCTCCCGCCATTCCTACGTTCTACTTAGGGATTCTTCCTTCTTTGTGTGGCAAAGTTTCGACTTATTTTAAATCTATAGGTTCATTAGAGAGTAACCGATATCTTTAAAATACTTATATTTTTTCCAATCCTGGGCCCACACTCCATCCTTTTATTTGCTTAAATCTTCTCTGTGTTTCTTAGCAAAATTCTTGATGGTCTGTAAAGTGGTGTCCATGCATTTCTAGTTAGGGTATTCACATACATTTTTTGTCATGCTTATGATTTGGATAGGATTTTTTTCTCCATTACATTTTCTAATTCCTCATTGCTCTTTTTAACTTCTGATTTTTTTCATTAACCCTCTAACTTTACACTTGACAGGTGAAAATATTTTTAATTGCTTCCCTTGGGTATTTTAATTATATAGTCATTTCATCTGCATTTCTTAATGTATTCAACAAATACTCGCCATGCAAATCCTGAGACGGCTGAGAACAGAGACCCGTTGCCCAGAATAGGAACCACCTCCTTTGCCCTGGGGGTTTCGGGTGAGTGTGGACACGGGACACGTTCCCCAGCATGTTGCGCTTTCAGAAGGTACTGCACACGCTTCTTCCTTATATAATAGTTACCGTTTGTTTTTCCTGGTGAAGAACTACTTCATTCCTAACCTTTAAAGGATTTTAAAGCCTAATAAATAGATACTTAATATTGTTGAGTACCATTTTGGCATTTTTAAAAAGATTTTATTTATTGATCTTTAGACAGAGGGGACAGGAAGGAGAAAGAGAGGGAGAGAAACATCAATGTGTGGTTGCCTCTCGTGCGCCCCCTACTGGGGACCTGGCCCACAACCCAGGCATGAACTATGAACAGGAATCCAACCAGAGACCCTTTGGTTTGCAGGCTGGTGCTCAATCCACTGAGCCACACCAGCCAGGGTCCATTTTGGCATTTATTGAGATGATCATTTCAGAAACTCTTTGTCTTGACTACCCTTACATGTATAGATTTCTTGTTTAAGCATCCTTGCATTTCTAAGTTATACTTGATTATAGTAACTTATTCTTTTACTGGACTGTTCAAGTAATTCCACTAATTTATCCAGGTTATCTGTATTTCTTTCTCTGCCTATACATCTAACTGTGGTTGTTGAGTTAGCAAGTAAAAGCAATACTAGCAAGCATAAAACAGACACACTCTGTCTCTTTTGGCTTTCTTCTATTACCTTTTAAAACTTAAAAACCCATTGATGCATTTAGTTTCTGTTTCCAGTGGAGGTGAACTGCTAGCCTGCCTTTTTCCAAAGGTTATGTCTTAGCATCGGGGGTTCAGAGACAGCAGCTGGAGCCGGGGGAGCCTGGGCTGGGTCAACCTGAGCTGTGGGTGCGCCGGGTCCAGAGACATGGGCTGTCCCAGTGCACAGGGACTGTTCCCAGCCGTGTGGACACTCAGTGTTCTGATGCAGAGGTTTTCCTGCCCAAACCCTAGACACTCTGATAAACAGATTGCCAGTCACAGGGCATTCACTCTGGAGTTAACGATGCTGAGTAGTTGCCATTTGTCTTGGTCATTAATTAATTGTGTATCAGAATCGTGGGCCTTGAAGGTATTTTCATTTACACTTTACAAGAATCTTCTGAGATAGTTATTATGATTCCCGTTTTAGAGCGAGAGCCTCAGCAAGGTTGAGTGATTTGTCCAAGGGCACGCTGTTTGTGGGAGTGGGGACTGTCACTGGTGTCTTTCTGACACTGTTAGTGTTGCATTTTTAAAACAGGAAACTCCAGCTGCTTGCTTTATACACTCTATATTTTATTTTTTTGTGGAAATGGCTTATAAGTATGTGAATAGTAAACGTGGAAATCGGTTAATTCATAGTTATCATCTACTTTCCACCATAACGTCCAGTCCGTCATATTTAACTGCTTGTCTCCACCTGCGGCTGTTTTAGTGGTTAACCCAAGTCCAAAAGTTACTTACAGGCCCCACAGCTCATCACAGGTACTTTGTTTTAGGACATTTAGTCCTTAGTGCAGCAGAGCATTGCGAGACCCCACCCAGTGTTGTGAGGAAGGTGAGAAAATCACCGCCTCTGTTTCACTAATGAAGGTGACATTTGTAAGTGGCACGGTCACCGTACTGTGGACCCAGCGAGGGGATTCGGAGGGGGTGGCTCACACACCAGAGCTGGGCAGAGCAGTGCTGAGGGGTCGGGCGAGGACTGAAGGTCAAAAGCAAGGGGATAGGTGGAGGGTCTTCAAGACCTGACATCGCGCCTGTCGTCCCCTCTCCACGTTCAGGGACATCCTGAAGTCGGTCACGGTGAGAGTATTCACCCCACGGAAGCTGATAAACGCTGCAGAGCCGGGCTCTTTGCCCCTCAGGCTGCCCGCTCGTCAGCGGTCCCCAGCGCCTCCCTGGCCGCCTCCTGCTTCTCGCCAGACCTGGCTGTCTGCCGGCTGAGCGACGCGTCGGACCGAGAACGCGAGTGTGGCCGCGTGCACTCGTTTCGGCGAACCCCTGAGCGTGTTGACGGTGTCACTGCTTCAAGAAGCGATCTGTTGGGGATTTGATATACCCTCCCCCGCAAGAAGGAGAGGTGGCTTTTTAAGACACCGGAGTCCGAGTCACTCTTTGCGTGAAAAGTTACGGTGAAGGACGCACAAGAGTGCAGCCTGGAGGCGGTGGGGCAGGACGGACGGTTTTGTCTCCCGGAGAACTTCCCTACGTTAAAACGTTTCCCTCAACGCTGCTTTACTGCCTCCCTCTCCTTTAGGTCAGTGACAGGAGTGTAAGAACCGAAGACATTAAAAGTCAGGACTTGCAGAATGGGTAAATTGAAGGTAGTTGTTCAAATGACAGAAGTTTTCTTTCTCGAAAGCTTTCCTCTCTGCCTCCTCCTCTCACGCACGCCGAATGCGCTATTAATCCACCAGCATTTGAGTTCCCACATTCGGATGGCACCACGTAACCCGCGTCCATGCTTTAAAGATTGCGCGCGACCTGACTTGATTCGAGAACTGTTACTGCTCACGCTCTGGCCCCTGGTGGGAGTTGCCGTGAGTGACCGTTTCAGGGGAGATGCTCAGGGTCACAGGGCCTGCTGTGGAGCTGCCAGGGGCCTGCCTCCCAGGCTGGGGCGGAGGCAGGGCTGCGGCCGTGGGTCTGAGGAGCGGCGAGGCCCGCGAAGGTGGTCAGTCTCCGGGTCCTGAGTGAGGGGCTGCGTCCCAGGCTGCGTCTTCAAGGCCAGCCTGATCGGCCCTGTGAGTCCTGGTGGGCCGAGGGGAGGGCCTTGGAGGAGATTGCTTCCTCCTGTGGCAGTCAGGGGACTTCTAGAGACAAACGTCACCTTATCACAGGTGAGGTTTAGTTAGACTTTAAACCCCAATTTACGGAAGGCGACCAGCAGTCGTTTTCTACTTTCATAAGTTAGACTGAGGCATATTAGTGAAACACCGTTGTCTTATTTTGAATAACAACATTGGAAATATTTTAAAACTACCTATCTCACTTCGTTTTACATTTACACTCCTGAATTTAATTAAAATTGATATTTCAGGATGATAGTCTGTTTTTGCAGAGGACTAGATGTTTATTTTCTTTTCATTGTTACAAGTCAACCTCACGGTAAGAAACCATTGTGATTCTGAAAACGTTCCTTCTTAACCGCAGCTGTTGCCTTGCTCTGGTCCAGTGCTGGCCCCCGATTGCTCTCCTTCCGTGGGCGGGTTACCACACCACGCGAGGATTCCTAGTGCAGAGTCCCCCGATACAGTTATTCAGAAATGTCCCTGTGCACGAGAGCCCTGAGGATCCCCGGGCACCCCCCGCAGAAGCTGTGATCCCCGGGGGTCTGCACCAGGGCCCAGGCTGCTGCCTTTGGAAGAGCTCGTGAAGAGCAAGGTGAAAGGTTCTTCAAAGCTGTGGGTCTTGGAGTCACACAGTGAGACCCACTCATAACCAGTTCATCTAATCCTCTCACTGTTTTCTTTCCTTTTTCTGGGTTCCTTTTCTTCTTCGTTCTCAGGCTC